TTTCTAAAAGTGACTTTTTTAGGAGAGGGGTTGAGGACCAAGGGTCCTCAATGAACTCTCTTGTGTGGTGAAAACTGTCCTCTAATCTGTGTCTATCACGTTTTTCCCTTAGAAATAAAGATTTTCCAGGAGAGTTCTGTAGTGAGTGTTTAGTGACTAAGAATCTGTAAAAGTAATGATAATTTCCATATCAGAATTGTGTTACGGCATTGTGAGGAAAGATACGTTTAAAAATTACATTTGGAAAAGTAAACAAGGGGTAGCTCCTACTCATTTTATTAATCAGAGGAGGTCACTGGGTCTCCAGTCACAAAGATGTTTCTCAGATATCATCTATTTGGAACTCAGTCTGGTAGCCTGCATGCAGCTGAACATTTCTGTAATGGTCAGTACATACAGTCTGGCTGTATCTTTCAGGGCTGCTGCCAGGACTGGTCCAACTTTTGGCATTTCTGGGCCACACTAGAAGAAGAGTTGTCTTGGGCCACATATCAAATACACAAACACTAACAAAAACTGAGGAGCCCAAAAGAAAGGTTTTAAGAAAATTTACAGTTTTGTGTTGGGCTGCATTCATACCCACCCTGGCCCACATGCGGCCTGCAGGTATGGGTTGGATACCCCTTAAACCAATAAAAGGGCAAAAGCTTAAAACCAGTCACCTGAATCATTGAGGCCAGGGACCACCAATGCCAGCCTTTCTGAAATCACAATTATATCCCCATCTGATTTTATCACACATATAACAAGGAGGGCTTTGAACTCTTACTCTGCTAATTATACCTTCATGGTCTTGGAGAGGCGCCTAATTTATTGCAGCATCAGTTTATAAAATCAGAATAGTAACATCCACAAAATTAGTTTGAAAATTAAAGGAGAAAGTGTGTCAGAAGTAAGTGTTGAATAAAAGCTGGCTACCACTACTGCTACTAGTGAATGCAGTCGTTCTATTTTTTTTAATATTACACAATACATATTGGTTTATTTTGGAAAATCAGAACAAAGTAGAAAACAAGAAACAGTAATCATTTTCTTTTGCACCTAAACTTTTCTTTACAACTTAGTATTTAATTAGGGATTTGCTTTTATTTTATTGGAAGAGTTAATGAATTTGAATATTATGAGGTCAGGTCCTGGGCAAGAGTTCTGTGGAAATACTTCTCCACCCTTGATTCAGAAGCACTTCATTAATACAGTCACTAATACTACCTGGCATGTTTCTCTCTGTCCTTGTTTATGTACATCACTATGTCATTAAAAAAATAATGCTGGAATCATATGATGAAGATAATTTAATATCTTCATTCTCAATGTCACTTTGAGATTGTTAGTATTTTCTCAAATAATTACATCATCTTTGTAAGTATCTCTTTTATGACCACACAATAATTTATTTGATGACTATAACAGCATTTACTTGAATATTTATTTCTGAATTTCTCGCATTGTAACTGAAATGATAAAGAATATCTTCATCCATATAGTTTCTTTGAAAGTTTAATTCTCTTGCAGACGAGCACTAGAGAGAATTACCTGTGTGTGCTCAGTGTGGGGTGACAGAAGCCTTTGTCCCCTGGCTCTGGGACATCATGTGTGCACGTCCGAGGACTCATGGGGGCGGGGCGAGGGGGATAGGTCGCTAGCTTGCTTCCTGAGCAAGCCCTGCCTCGCGATTAGGTCGCACTCCAAGGCGCAATTTTGACTAAATAAGTGGGTTCAGCAGCTTTTCGCTGGTGTTATTAACATAAAAATAATAAGAGGAGTTGATTAAAACATGAAGATACCCATATTCTAGGGTTATCAAACTGAAGTCATATGATATGAAGGCATCAGTAACTCTGTCTGGAAGATTGATAAATGCCTGGTATTCTTATAAAATGACTTTATGTGGCAGATATTTTTATTGCCCTTGTGAGTTTTTCTATTAAGGTGAGGAATTAGGAATTATTCTCTTATCGTCTTCCAGGTTTTACCTACATTATATATAATGGTATAAGCACTCTCTGTCCCTTTTTTAATATCCCCAATTTTTCCAATATTCTTTGTCAGGAAGCGATATTCCAATAGGGGATAGTTCCTTAAGCAACAGAGGAAGGAGAAAGCAGGCGGGCTATCGGACTTAGTGGCCATCATTTTCACGTAGGAGAGTCTGTGCTCCCTTATAGGGGCCACCATATCTAGTAAAATGACTTTCCTTTAAATACATTATCTTTAGCCCTGGCTGGTGTAGCTCAGTGGATTGAGCGCGGGCCTGCGAACCAGACAATCGCGGTTCGATTCCCAGTCAGGGCACATGCCAGGGATGCAGGCAGGTTCCCTGCAGGCCATTTCCCAGCAGGGGACGCATGAAAGGCAACCATACATTGATGTTTCTCTCCCTCTCTCCTTCCCTTCCCCTCTAAAGATAAATAAATAAAATCTAAAAAAAAATACATTATCTTTAGTATAGATTATAGATACAGGCTAGATTTTTCAACTATATCATAGTAGGAAAAAATATTTATATTGTAACTTTGTAAATAAACACAAAATGCATTCAATAAAGGCATTTTGTATATATTTAATTATTGTGCTATCCTGTTTTATAGATAAATTAATATGATTTTAATTTCTATGAAATCATTTTTGATGACATTATGACTTATATTAAAATTGTCATTAAGATTTTTCCCCCTAGATTCTGAGGGTTAGTTGGAACCATTTCCATACCATTTTAAGTCATACATGAAAAGTCAAAAAATTAAAAATTATAAATAGTTCTTCACAAAAATATAATTTTCTCACATTTTAAATTTAAAATTATTATTAATCACCATTCAATATACTTATTTAATTCTAGATAATTAATTATTGTTTTGCTTGTACCTTGGATTCAGCAGACACACTGGGTTAAGGTGGCTAAGAACTCTGTGCTGTTCAAGCCACTGAGGGGAGCAGAACTCTTGTGACCACTGCTGATTCAACAGCACACCTCACATATCACCTTCCAATCAATCACACTACCACTTTAGATTTTTCACAGCTCATTGTTAAACACTGGAACTTGGAGTATTAACTTGGCTCATTTGGGTATTTCTATAATGCCTCTCTTATTCATTCTCTGAGAAAGAAGAAAAAGTCATGAATTCAGAATCCTTTAGATTTTATGGTAGGTCTTGAAAGGCTGGACAAGCCAGAAATAATCATTTCCACTTCCTCTCCACTTCATCTACTGTGAATATCGTGGCTCACTCATAAAACTGTGATATTCGCCAAGCAAAAATCCCCTTGGAAGTCAGAGTTCCCTCTTTTCTAAGCTATTCAATATCAATCTTAATACGAACAAATAGAAAACTTTTCTGGGGTTTTTGTGGGGTTTTTTTTGCCTTTTCTGGTAGCTTTGTCTGTGTAAATCAGATATGCCTCCAGAGAACAAAATGATATAATTTGGACTCATTAATCTACAGAAGTTTTCTCAAGAGAGAGAACAGGAGACAGAAGAAGCCACAGATACTAAAGAGCTAGAGTTACACAAATTGTACGAGGCTAACTTCCATTTTTTGCAAGGGGAGCAAGGACATTTTTCATTTATACACACAAGTGCAAAGAGAACTAACTGCCTCAATTCTCCATCTTTAGCTCTATGTCAAATGTAAATGTGGAGCACAGCTTCCCGTGCCTGAGCAATCTTACTAGTCAGTCGCAGCAACTCGGGAGTAGGAAGGTAGAGGGGTCAAAAAGGACCTCCCAGGAATACTTGTTATGAACTTCCCCTAATCTGGAGCTGATGTCTATTCTAGTGGGCCCAAAATTATCTCTTGAGTGATTTTAGTTATACTGATATTCAAGCAACATATAATACAGTGTACTTCATAAGATACCACACACGTCAAGGCAAATTAACAGAAAAGACAATGAAAAAGATTGATGTGGGTTTCCCAGTCATATACTATCTATTACCCGAAAGGGACAGGATGAGTCAAATAATCAACATCAGACTCTCAACATTTCAGTCACCAAGGGAAGAAAAGTAATGGCTGTGTGTAAAACTGAACAAGACACATTAAGAACCAGCTTAATGCAGACACCAAAACAGATGCAGAGGGAAAAAAAATGTAGGAACAGAGTCAGCGCCATTCATCCTGGGAATCCAGAGAGGTGGGCCTGGGACTCAGAGGTCCCAGTGCGCTTGCACGGTAGACTCAGCTCTGGTGTGTGAGTTCACTGGGGCATTTCATTGGAACTTCAGCTGTGAAAATTGCAGAAACAAAAGCAGTGAAAAAGAATAAGAGGCCTTTTGTATGTGGACATTACAAAGAAACTAGACTTTGGACTTGGGAAGACATTGAAAAACTGACTGCCATATTTAAAATACAACCGATATATAAAGGAAAAAACAGGCGCATGATGACCAGGGTTACAGAGAGTCTGCTGATAGTAGAAAGTCTGCAGTTTTCTCACATGTTTATCATCACTTCTAGGGCCCTACTTATATCAGGGCAAAGAGTTTGTCACGGTCTCCAGGGTGACCCCTCACTTTCTGCGGCTCTGTGGTCCATGACCCTACCAATATACTACTGTGCCTCTCAAGTGATAGCATTTGAAAAATAGTTAATTTTCAGAAAATTGGTAAGCAGACTACCAGTGCCAATGAAATTGAAGTAGTCTTTAGTTGAATAGCTTCTGGGATGGGAAAAATATTTTAACTAACTTGCCCTCTCGTATGAAAATATTTAGTTCCTTAGGTACTATTTCTCTCTTTTGAATGGTTGTGAACAAGCTTTCACAAGCTCACTTTTTTTTTCAGAAGGTTAATTTGATAGATGTTATATCCATTCTGGTATATTTACCCTTCTTTGGAGAACTCTATTGACATGTTCGGGTAATGTGTATGAAGTCTGTGTACAAATGGTCATCTATTTCCTATTTGATTATATTCATCATTGAAATGAATTTAAGACTTTGCAAAAGTGCTTGTTTTTCTTATTAACTATAATAAAAGTTTAATATTTTATTTTTAGGGTACAACCTAGTTCATTTAGAATTGATAAACTGGACAGTAAAGTTAAAAGAATTGGACCACACATAGAAATTTTCCAAGTATTCCGGAAAAGGAACAAACTTATAATCACCAAAAAAGTGATTAGAATGATCACCATCATGCAGGCACATGTCAGAGGCTGGCTCGAGCGCAAAAGATTACGAAGAATAGTAGGCAAGGTAAAGCATACGTTAAATATTACAATATAATATATTTACAGTCTAATGTACTTACAATACAATATCTGATATAGGTTCAATTAAGTCGTAGTTTGAATAATCACCTGGTCAATTTATGGTTTTTCTAAATAAAGTTCTGTCTGCCTTCTTTGGATTAAGAAATTGTTAAGGGTGATCTTCTTTAATGGCTGTGCTAAACCGGAGATTCTGAACAACAGACCTGGCTTATCCTCAGCCACACCCAGAAGAGCTCTAGCACTCTTTTCACTTGAGGGCCAAGACCGCCTATCTTTGCACTGATTTGGTTTCTCTTTTGCCATCTGCTTATTCTCTGCGAGCATTTAGATGGTGAATGTGAGTGTTTGTGGAGATTAAGTTTCTATAGAAAGTGGCATCAAGATGATTAATAAAACACAGGTGAACTTCCAGGCCACTTTAGAAATCCATATGAGGTTTGTTACTCAAGAATTGGAGTGGTACCATTCCTCTTGGTTTTATAATTATATTTAGTAGTTACAAAAAGTAAGTCACAGAGAGGTAATGTAACTTACCTGAAGTTATACATCTAGCCAATGATATACTCAAAATTTGAGGATCAAACCGAAGTCTCTCTGGCTCCAGAAACTTTAAAACATTAGGGTATTCTGGTAACAATAATATCTAATCATCATCACAAACTTGTGGATTCTTTTTAAATTAAGCTCCCCATGGACATTGGAACGTCTGGTCAAAATCTGAGACTAGATTAAACTCCCTCCTGATCCTACCAGTCCATTCAGGTGTGCTCACATCAGGGAGATGATGTAGAGAACCACGGTTGCATTCATAGGAGGAGGCACCAATTCTTCGGCAACCAGGCATGGCCGCTAAGGTTTTACAGAATGCATTGGAAGAAAATATGATTCAGTGATACAGATGGCAAAGTCTGTGTACTTCATCTTCATGCTAAGCAATTAGATATAGAATGATTGAGCAAGTGCTTCAGATAGCATTACATGTCATTATTCTGACCTAGGTCAGGGGACACAGAGAAGAGGCCTGAAAAAGGGAAGACCCCAACCTGAGAGAGAGGCATGTCCTAGAACTACCTGTGCATGGCTGAGGGTTTCACTAACTCTTTAGTGGGTGGTGAAAGGAATACAAAAGTCATGCCAGTGTTATTCGTGGCTTGTATATTTAAATGTGTGTTTATGTGTGTATACTATGTGTGATAACTACTCAGAATATTCCATTTTTATTTCATTGTCTATATATTTAGTCATTTGCAAATCTTTTCTTTTTGTTTTTATAAGGTTTTGAAGGAAGATTTTTTTGGATATTGTTCTACATAAGTGTTCAGACAAGTTTATAGACTTCAATTGATGAATGTGATCAAAATAGGTCTATAACATTCTTTTAAAGTTAAACTGTAAAAAAAATTGCTATATTGCACAAGGGTTAAAAATGACAGCACAGAAACACCTATCCCATAAACTGATAAAAAGATAATGATAGAAAAATAGGGTAGGAGACGTGGGCTAGTACTTTATAGTAGGAGAATCATAAATGGCTAGTAAACATGAAAAGAGGCTACTCTTGCTAGAAAATCTAGTAAATTAAATCCCACTGAGTGTTATATGATAGTGGAATTCTCAAACAAGCAATTACATAATTTCCATTACATATTTTTAAAAAGCCATAATCACATTAAAAAAGGCAGACTAAAACTGAATACTAAAAATATTTTTAAGTGTTGAAGTATGATGGGTGAGTGTAATACATTTACCCTTTGAGTCAACAGGGATTAAAACATTATAATCAGTAATTGTCAATGAGTCTTTTGTAATAATGGTGTTATAAATATCAATTTATACTTTTTTGGTAAATTCTATCTTGAGAAATGTCTAGAAATGTAAGGATTTACATATTGAGGTGCACGCAGCATCGTAGCTGAGGCACATTTCCCTGCAGAAGCCTGGCAGGAAGCCAGGCTACAAAAAGAACTACAACTTGACCATGAAGACCTCTGGGTGAATACTCCAAATGCCTCAGATCTGAGGTTTCCCTCATAAGATGTGTCCCCCAGATAGTTATTAAAGTCAGAGGGAAAGGCACTCAGCTAGGCTCCAGTGACGGCAGCCCAAAGTTCCTCCCCTCTTCGCAGATGTCATCATCTATCCAAGTGGCACATGCCAAGCAGGGGCCTTTGGCTAACGTGTTTAGGGTACGAATAAACATTGCTTGGTTCTTAATTATAAGCAAAAGAAACCTACTGACCTGTCTAAGCGGAAAGATACTGAGTAGAATATTGGGCAGAGGTCTGAGAATTGAACTCATAGGCAGGAAGGGATAATGAACATAGTTCCTGGGACTCCAGCCAAACCCTGCGCAGAGAGAGCCTGATATAGATGCTGAATCCTGGGTGCTCCAGCCTCCACGGATACTGCTCTTGAGAAATGGATGCTGCAGCCATGCTTGCTCACCCACACAGATAGATTTCCTACTATTTTGCTTTTAAAAGCATTATGAGTTTTGATTAAAACCTGAAGCTGGTATAGATTATGGATGGACTTTGGCGCTGTCTGCTTCCTAGCAGTAGGGGGCCTAGGTCATGGGCATCCAGTCTGTATCTCCAGACCCTAGGAGGTGAGTTCTGCCTCCCACTGAGATTCATAGAATGGGGAACATTCCAAAAGTGTGACCAATTCCTCATTTATTTTTTAAAAATGACAAGGACCTGTTGAACAAAATGCAGATTAAAGATAGATGTTAGAAAATGTTATTAAATGTTGGAAGATATTAACAAATACTCAGAATTTGCCTGAATTCTGATGGCATTCAAATGGGAGGAGTAGGAAGAAGAGGAAAGTAGTGACATTATGCAAATTAATTTTCCATTCAAGAAAATTAAGCAATATTTTATTGATAATTTTGCTAAATTAAGAAATATAGAGTTAAACATCACATTTAAAAATTTTAGAGAAAAAAAATCACAAAATTAAGTGAAGGTTAAAAAAATGGTAAAAATAACCTTTCAGGAGTCACGCAAAGTAAAATAAATGACAAAAGCAAGAACAATTGTCAGTGTTATAAAAGGAAACCTACCAGGAAAGAAACCAAAACAAAAATTTATAGAATGGTGAAAATACTGAATTTAAGTAAATTAAGAGGGATATCGTGTATAGATGAAAGTGTGGACTCTGCAGGCTTCCTGCTTTGATTGCAACACCAATTCTACAACTTAATAGCTCTGGGACCTTAGGAACGTTATTTCAAGATTTTATGCTTCAGGTTTTTTTTTTCACTTGGAAAATGGTATGCAAAGCATATCAGAGGAAAGCTGATTTAGGAAAATTCATGACCTTTAAATACATGCTTAAAAATAATTAAAGTAGCGAATTAAGTCTTTAATTCAAGAAGTTGAGAACAGGGGAAAAGGCTAAGAAAGGAATTAATTAAGATATATAGAAAAATTAATGAGCTAGAAGATGTAAAATGTGAAAATAATTAAATTGCTAAATAAAATGGAACTGGCTATGTAGAAAACAAAAATATCCTAAAATAGATGAATACTTTAATTTTTAAAAGTCTATTGGAGTGAAGAAAATTCATAGATAGAAAAACATAGTTACAGATGAAAGATAAGCTGATAAAACAACATTTGCACATGTTCTAAAAAGTTAATTTTTTTAATAGTCAAAGTTTTTAGAAATCAATAAGAATAACCTGAAAAAATCCAGTGTAAACTAGGTAAAAGGCATAAACGTAGAGTTTTCAAAAGGAAAATACCAAGATTTTAGGACCCGGAGTGTGTATCACTTAGGCAAGAATTGTTCAACACAAAATAATATTTTAATAAAATTTTACTTTTTTTCTTTTTCTGGCTGGGTCACATTAACTTAAGAAGCTCCTAGGAAAGTGTCCCTCACTTAGAACTCTGTTCTACAGGAAGTATGAGTATCTGATGACAAAGAAACTCACTGGAATTCTTTGAACTTCAGGGACATTGTCTTTCTGCGTAATGTGTACATTTAACCAATCTAGCCAGAAACAATAAATACATCTATAAGCCAAGAAACGGAGTGAGAGATAAAATAAAAGGGACGAGATCAAATTAAATATAAATAGCAGAAATAACCTATGGAGCTTTACTGTCTGTATCACTATTTTATAGGCTTTGTACCATGGGCAGAATTTGAGAGAGGTCATCAACATATACTGCAGACTGATCCATCGCATTAAATATCGACTTGGTCTTTGGAGGACAAGACAAATTATAAACTTCACAGAGTTAGAGGAATGGATGGATAGAAAAAAGTGTAAGTGAAGTCTTTTCTGAATGATACTCTTTTGCAGAGAGTAATTTTGTATCTCATAAACTAGTATGAATGTACCGATATAGTAATATGTACTAAAGTATGTACTAGGACCTTATGATTATTACAGTGACCGCCGTTTCTTTTCCACTCACCTTATTTTTAGCTACAGACTTCCAAGCAACTAACTCCCCCGCTATTTTTACTCAGTCTTATCTTCATCTCCCAAACTCTGTCACTAAATTCATTTTTTAATCTTACAGAATCTTGCTTATTTTTTCTTAGTTGTACTTTCCCTGATTTCCCCTCTTTGATACGTAACTGTAGATTACACTATTTTTGCATTCAAAAATAACCTTTTCAGTTTGAAAAAACAAAAATCTAATGTGGTTATGTTTTCCAGTCTGGACTCTGGTAGTTGGTTTCCAGCTGAGAATCAGAGTAAAAGTCGAGGGCGAAAGAATGCTCCAGGTGGAGGGAGAAGCAGGCACAAGGGTAGGAGGGTGAGGGCAGTTACTATGGGAGGAAGCTGGGAGATTGAGATGCTAGATGGGGTTTGTGCGCCAGTGCAGCTCACAGTGAGATGGGAGAGGTCGCAGGGAGTGGGGACCCGGGCTGCATCAGGCTTTGTAGACCACAGGCTTTGACCCTGATGGAGCTGGGAAGTCTGCAGAGCGCTGTGAACCAAGAACTATGGTGCATTTAGATCTGAACACATTACCCTGGCAGTTTTTTGAGAACAGGTTGACAGGAGGCAAGGATGTAAAAAGCCCCAGTCGGGACGAATGGTGCTCTGTCTACTGTAGACTCTGAACAATACAAGAGAATTAGCTAAATCAATGATTTAAAGTATTACCAACTGCAGCATCATTTGCACTGAGGTGTAAAGTAACTCTAGAGTCCATAGAATTTGCATGCTGTCATTGGTCTTCATGTTTTTTAGAAAATTTTTCATCTTTTACATATTTTTATTGCTAATTGGGTGATAGCTGGCAGATATCTATGCACCTTTTTAAGTACCTTTCAAGGACCAGAAAATTTCATTAATTTTAATGATTTAAGGTTTATATTGACCCTAATTTAACCTGCCTAGAAAATTAATTCTGCTAGTATGTTGCCAAATATTTGCTTTTAGCAATTAATATACAGGTTAATGGCATTGTTATCTATCAACATAGTTACAAAGCCATAATATTAATATGTGTGTTAATCTAATCTAGTAAGAGTCATCTAAAATGGATCAATTCAAGGAAAAACTGATAACTCAAGGAGAAATGCATTTACTTTAATGTATAAGTAAAACACGATCTTCTTTGTGTTAGTTTGGGTTTCTCTAAAATCAGGTCCTGAGATAAGAATTTAGGTACAATGAATTTATTCATGTGTTAATCCCAGGAAATGCCATTAGCTGAATGGGGAAGTGAGACAGGGAAGGCGTGGAAGTCAAAAAAGAGTGGATTATCAAGCAGATTATCATGTGAGCAATGGGAGCTTAATTCCTCTAGAGCACCAGTGGCAAACACAAGGCCTGAGGCCTGAATCCACCCCTCCACCTGGTTTTATCCAGCCTGGCACCTTGTTATTACCTGGCAGCAGTACTGAGCTCTCTTAAAATTACATTCAGCCCTTGGAAGGCAACTGCGAGGCTGATGTAGCCCCCAGTGAAAATGAGTTTGACAACCCTGGTCTAGAGAACAGTTCAGCCAACTTGCCTCAAGTGCTGAGTTACCCCCTGTGCCCCCCCCGTGCCCCCCCACTGTGGTTGAGGGCTGCTCTGGTGGGGGCCTTCAGTTCCTGGAGCTTCTGGCTGGCTGCTCCGGTGGGTAGAGTGGAGCCCAGCAGCCAGAGGGAGCTCCTAGGCAATGAAATGCAGAGGCTGGTGACTAAAAGTCAGGCCAGCATGCCCACAAAGTAAGGGACAAGACGGTATGGATGGGGTACCAACAGCAAATCCTCTAGTTTGTTTACTTGATATGAGAGAAAAAGTCATAGACATACTAAATATGAACTGATGCTTATTTTGCTGCTGTGTTTCAGAATCTAGAATAGCTACTCATTTTAAGGCAACCACTAGTGCTTGAAATTGTCAATGTCTTATGACTGCCCACTTCAATCGAATGAGTGAATGAATGAATGAATGAATGAATAGAAAGTTGAAATCCATATGGTTTTGTGCCAAGATGATACATTAATTTTGTTAGAAATCTCTCTTGGGGCCCTTTGTCATATGGAGTTCATATTTCAGAGTGAAACCTGTACTGATGTAAAGCCTGTCATCCTGTATGCTAATTATCAATCAGCTAATCCATATACTTAAGAATAGCGATTCAATATCACTATTTAAAAATGGAAAAATAAAATATTTATGGAGAACTACACTTGCAAAATTGCAACTATATGTGTCAATTCCTCAATGCTCTTGGTCATTATCTGACCCCTTTTTAATGCCAAGTATGGGAGACAGACAGGTAAGGGATGACCCACCCGAGTCATTTTCTGTGGTAGCCTTGAACTAAGAATAGTCAAGTACCCTAAACTAAGAAGCAAGACTACAGGAAGTCAGTGAAAAAATAGACATCATTCCATTTAGGAGACAAAGCAAAAGTAGAAAAATCAGTTCAAAAAGGAATCAGCAATTCAAGTAGGTAGAATGTGGGTAGAAGTCCAAAAGACATGACAAATTGGGGGAACTAATAAACAGTGAATACTGAAATGGTCAGCAGAAGGCCAGCCTCCCAGAAATCTTTATACAAAAGCTAGGTCATAAGACATAGTTTGAGCATTCATGTCTGTAAGGTCTGCAGACCCTGGTCATGTGCATCAGGCCAGAGGATGCCAGTGATCTCCTTGGGGAAGCGAGTCCAGATTTCACCTCCTTCCAACCTTCTGCAGGAGGACCACCAAGTGCTGATCTAAGTGTGGAGGCTCATCATTAGACATAAAATGAAAACCAGGGTTCAAGTTCTTTCAAATCTAGAGGAAACTTTTTAGGTGGTTTGTAGCTGAAATATTATTTATAAACAAAATATTTTCTTTCATCTTTTCTTTTTCCTTTAGTTTACGAAACGATGTTTGCTAAGAGAGAAGATTGGCAAGGGCTGCAAAGAAATGAGCTCCTGAAGTACTTCAATGACTGTGGCCATTTCCCAATTCAGCAGCAGGTTGATCAGGTTTGGAACCTGGTCCACAGAGGCAAGTCATTTCTCAACTGTCGTTTTTCCCTTTCTTTTTTTTCTTCCTTTCTCGTCCCTTTTTTCTCTTTTATTGAACTTGTCTTATAAATCATTTTCCTCAAATTTATTTTATCTGATTTTAATATACGTGAAGAAACAGGTTTAAAGGTTAAAAGTTCGTACGATGAACTTTTCTGAGGTGGATGAAGGAGATGATTTTAGCTTTTTAAGCTTTTAATATTTTTTTGCTGTATGTTTTATCTAACAGTGTGTTTTATACCATTGTATTTTAAATACTGATACTATGAGCTTTCTTGTAGATAGTTAGATTTGGTACTAAAAACATAAGTGTTTAAATGTTATGAATTATTTCAATATAATAGCACTTCACAGTGAGAAATGCATTTGTTTTCCAAAGAGTAAATACACGAAAGGCTAGTGTTATATGAAAATATGTAAATGCATTGACATTCCTCCTCCTCAAAGTGCTTGTAAAGTTGTAGAAATTCTCAGTGGGATGTGCAAAGTCTCAATGAATTTTCCTTTACTCCTGGAGGTTATTCGCAACATTTCTTCCTATATTCATTCATACTATTGTCATGGCTTGCTACCATATTTAGAGAGGATGGCATGGCTGTATCCACAATTTAATTGAGAAAAAAAGGCAAACCAACATACCAGGACCTTTTTAAATGGAGGAATAGGGCTCCTGTGCTCGTAAGAAGGTGTGTTTCGGTCTGAGTGACAAAGTTGAAGAGTCATCGAAGGTTTGAAGTTCTGCTCTTCTCTTGTTGGTCCTTAGTGTAAATGTACCTGATTCTTTACCTATGGGCTTTGCTTTGACACTGCTGTATCCCTAGTATCTAGAATGCTTTTCTGGACTCTCTCACACGTGTGTTCACAGAGTAGCAGAAGCATCCAAATCACTCTGTGCTTTAGTGGCATAAGTAGGTTGTCTATTTGTTTAAGCACCTTTTGTCCTGATGGCAAAAACATTATAGAAAATTTGGGAATATGGCAATACATAAGGTTACTAAGAAATAGCAACTATTAATATTTGAAGTCTATCCAGTTTTTTTCTGTGCATAAGATATTATTTTTATAAAAATTGAGGTTATTTTCTACATGTTTGAAAATCTCTTTTTGCTTAACAATACTCATAAGTTTCTAAATCATAAATACCTTTTATAATATTATTTATACTGAGTAATAATCTGTAGTATATTGTCTGTTGTACATTTAAATTATTTCTATTTTTCTTTATAATAAATAATAATAAAATGAAAAAAATTAAATATAGCAAAATAGAATTCATCAGGCATTTCAGAAATTTATACTGATTGTCATTGGTAATTCAAAATATAAATTTTTATTTTCAAATTAAGTTCTATAGAGACTTTTTCTCTACTGATTATTTTGGGGTGTATTGTAAAGGCTTCATTTGGAGCATGGCTCTGGAATTAACTTGCCTGGGTTTAACTCCTGGCTCCATCGCTCACTAGTTGTATGTCTTCAGATAACTTATTTCTGACTTGCCTCATTTTTTTCAATTCTAAGAGGAAGATAATACTATCTAAGCCTTTGGACTGTTTGTTGGGAGGTTGAAACAAAATAATTCACATAAAATGTATTTTCCATGATAAGTGCCCAATAAACATTTGCTAGTATTCTCAAATAATTTTTAAGCATGCTTAATTATAAAAATAAATTTTTATAGTTATTTTGAGGATGTTTAAATTTTGAACCTAATTATATAGTGACCCATTTTTATAGAGGTTATTTATTGAGTGCCATCCATTGGTTCCCACCCCCACCCCCCACCATCTCTAGTGACTTTTGTAATTACCTGTGATCTGGAGGAGGTGATATGCTCACTTACATTCATTTCAGGAATGAGGCCTAAGATTTAGAAAGAGACTTTTCTAAGCTCATTAATAGACCTGGAACTTTTTCCTGGTCTCTTCAAGTGAAGTTCACTGCTCTTTCCATATTAAAATGGAAGACACTTTAAAAGTCAATGTAATGAAAAATGAATGAGTATAACATTTTTGACAGCAAGGACTGCCTTTTATTGATATTTCATAGGCCAGCTTAATGTGTTGCAATATAGTAGCTTTTCTTAAATGACTGGATCTATTAAATTTCTCATAAAAACTAAAATTAAAAAAAAGCTTAGTTTAAAAACACTGATTTATTTTAATGCCTAAAATTGGGAAGCTTTACATTATAGAAAAGAGCCAACTTAACATAATTTTAAATATATGTCCAATTACATTGCTCCAAAAGAAGTTAGAAAAATTCTTTTGGTGCATAAGAAACTTTTATTTAAAATGGTGATATTCTAAATAATGAAAAGAAAAAATATGAAAAATTGAGCTAAATTAATGGTTTTCTACTTGCTTCTAGAAAATATTCCATTTTTTAAAGAATCTGATTTTATGAATTTCAGTTCATCAGTCATCTTCATTCATACTAACTTCTTTGATTGTGGATAATAGTTCCAGGTGTGCGACCTACGCATTTTTCATTCAGGAGAATATTTCACCTAATGCATATGCAGTGAATTCAATTGATTAACTTCTTTAGTATATGACACCAAGTAGGTCAAATTCCTAAAATTGTATGTGTTCAGGTATTTTTAGCTCTTTAAAATTCTTCATTCTTATCACTATGGTAACAAAAAAATTATGACCGAGGACATGATATTCATCTGAAAATCTTCTTTTGAAAGAATGAAGCAACTCTAAGCTGCATGTACAGGCTGATCTTAAAATCTGAGTGCTGTGCAAACATGAGAACCTTCCCTGATGTTCATGTAAATCTCAATGAATGAAACTAATAGCAATCGAATAGCATACCTGAAAGTAAGGAAAATAACACATTGTGGTTCTATATTATCTATTCTCACATCTGCCTAATTTTTAGAAATGTAAACTTTGAAGATTCCCCAGTATTTCTGAAACATGTAAATAGAACTTTTTGTTTCTTTTATGAAATTAAAGTGTACACCAAACAACCATGAAGAGAAGTCTATTTTCACTGTGGAGCCCTAGACAAAAAAAACTTAAGATAAGAAACATTGAAGGTTTTCATATGTTACTTAAGAGGACATATGCTATACATCTGAAGAAACTATGGCCTGTGATAGAATGTGGTCTATTTGAGACTCTCTGACTAGTTAGTGGCCAACCTACTATTTGTGCCCCCATATTCCTTGGATTACAGGGTTTAAACAGGTCTATTTGATTTTAAAAAATCTATTAAATTTCTATTTAATAGTCTATTGAAAGTCTATTAAATAGTAGAGGATTCTAGAGTAGAAAAAAAGTGAGACACTGGTACATGCTGGTGGTAGAGGATGATGTGTTAGAGGTAGCCTGTTACCTGTAATACAATTCACCACCTTCTCACATTATATGAAAAAATTTTTAAATACACACAAAAAGAGATAAAATGAAAAATACTGGCAGTGTGATCTTCCAGAATGACATGAGGCTACTCACTGGGGGTCAACTAAAATAGGTGGCCATGTCTTCTAGAGGTTTCTTAGTGCCACCATTAATGTTTGGAGAAAGTCTTTGGCAGTCTGTCTTCCTTTTGTATAAAATAAAAATGTGATCACCCTCTATCTTGATGTTGCTGGTACAAATCTCAGTCCATGGACTCCTTGTTATTCTGTGAGGAATTAATTTTTGTTTCTAGCTTCTAACTACCAGAATTTAATTTCAGTCCATTTGGCTTCCATTCTCTTTTTCTGTGTGGCTAAACAGAGATGGAGGGCATGTGTGCGATGACGCAGCATGTGGAGTGTCCCTTTGACCTTCAAGATCATTTGTGAACACAGGTGTTTCCTAGTATGTGTCTGCTTGGGCAGCCATGACAAATCCCACAGACTGTGGCTAGATGACCGAAGTGGGTGTGGATCATGGATCGCTTTGTGTTTACCATACGTTGGGGTCATTGAAAATGTTGGATCTGTAGATTCACGTTTTTCATTAAATTTGGCGATTTAATTTTTTAGTCAATCATTTTTGCACATTTTTCTTTCTCTTTTTTCCTCCTAGGACTCCTATTAAACCTATATTAATACAATTAATGTTATTCTAGAGGTCTCTGAGGCTGTTTATTTGTTTATTTTTTAAAATAGTTGTTCTCTTCCTAAAAGTAGATATCTACTGATCTGTCTTCAAGTTTCACTATTTCTTCCTTCTGCCTTCTCAAATCTGTTGCTGAGCCCATGCTGCGAGTTTTTCATTCCATTGTTATATTTTTCAATTCTAGAATCTACTTAGTTACTATCTACAGATTATATTTCTCATGATAATCCTCATTTTTGAGTAATTGTCATATTTTCTTTAATTTTTAAGATATAATTTATTTCAATTATTTGAGCATATTTATAACAGCATCTGAGGTCTGCTAAATCTAACAAAGAATCAGTTTTTATTGACCGTTATTTTTCCTTGGTTATGGGTCATTCTTCTTTGTTTATTTGAATGATTTATTTTTAAAAAATAGCTTAATACTGGACATCTTAGCCAATATATTGTTGAAAGCATGGATTCCAACTTCTTGCACTCCAAAGGTTTATTTGTTAAGTTAGTAACTTGCCTAGACTTAATATGTGGAATCTGATCTGTCTTCCCACCATAGTGTTTGGCTATTCATTTCTCTGCTCACTTATTTTAATTTTTATAGTTTTAGAATGGCTTCTCAAAAAGTCATCTTTCATCTGCATGACTTAGTTGCCGTCCTATGACTGAACAGACTATTTACTCAAACAGCTTACTCCCTAATGTTCCTGCCCTCTGCAAATGCATCTGTGTGGGCTGGGGGGCACATTCCATGTTCAGTGTCATGTCTGCCTCTTATTTTATTTTCCACTGGCACTCGTGGGTTTTCCTGTTCACTCACAATGTTTCCCAGTGAGCTTGAGATGTGGGAAGGTTATCAAGTTCTTCTATGGCTTTCTCATTTCCAGACTCTGTCTATTAAATTTCAGGCTGGCTTGTCCTTACC